CAATCGAGCTCGATGGCTCTCCCTTGCAGTGATGTGGCACAGACATTGCTCCTTCTAACTGCTAGTTGCCTCCCGTGCTTAATCGCTATGTGGACCACAAAACCTTGATAACCTGAGTTCAAGTCAAGATTGAGGTAGTGTCCAACCTTGCAGCGCGTCTCTCTGCATTGTGAAGCGATGGCATCCATGAGGTGCTCAAAAACTGGCAAAAACCCCGCAGTAACATTGCTGTTCAATTGCTCTCACACGCCTCTCTATAAAGAAAACCTAATTTGAAAAATGTGACAGAACTTCCCCGCCAACCTAATATATTCATATTCTTCGAGTCGTGTTATAACTGACTGAACAGTTTAATTGATGAGAGGTCAGAAGGCAAGCAAAGCGCAGTTAAGTGAGGTCACACAGCAGGCGACTCTGCCATCATGAGAGAAGAGGTGTGAAAAAGTAGACTGGGCAAAAGTCTCACACCCCACGGGCGGCCAAGCGATTTTTGAGAGTTCATCGTATGGGGAACCACGAACCAAGCCTTTGTTCCACCGCCATCGCCACAGATTTGAGAAGCACGTACACTAAATTTCGGCTGGGGCATCGTGCCAACACCTTCGCTGCGTAGCTGGCAATCGCTGCGAGACCTGATTGCCACACTACCGCCGCCTCTCACAATCGATAGATGCCGGAATGTGTGAGCAAGGAAAGTGAGCACAAACTGCTACTTTTAGGGTGAATCTGTGAATGATGTTCCCTGCGAAAAAGCGACAGCGAGTGCGAGCCAAAGATGAAGACGAACAAGTCACTCCTCTCTTGAGAAAAAAAAATTCGTTCTGTGGTATTCCTAAGCAAGCTCTCCTTGAGTTCCTTTTCATGTGAATTTCCTTGCGGTTTAACACGTTGACGATCACTTGATTCACATGCGCATCACGCATAGCAACCTACCTGGGACCGCTTATGTCATATATACCATTTTCACTTTAAACTCACCACTTTTCAAACCAAACTCACCACTTTTCAAATCAAACTCATCACTTTTCAAATCAAACTCACCAAACTTTTTATACCGGGCAGTTCAGCAACCAGATCACACCAGACAGCCTCGCCCCGAGGGTCACATCTACTTGTCACCACCGACATAGATTTTCAACATATCGACACAGCCGACTCCGCCAATTCTTTAGATAGCTTGTTGCGAACTTCGAAATTCCGTAACTTTTCAACTTTTTTTTCACATCCACCCTTTGCAGAACGAAGATACTCGTACCCAAGCATTCATGACCTGGCAACTAAGGCTTTGCATATTTGGACTGCTCCATGAAGTCCCGCCCCCTGTGAGAGACTCCGAACACCTCAAAGAAGCCTCACTTTCCTAAAATGGTGCAAATTGGCAGTATAGATTCTTGGGTTGCATGCTAAGGTCTCATCCGTCACTCGGAACAAATAAATCAGGCAAATTTGTTCCGAATAGCCTAGCCATGTAAGCCAAGACTCTATACTGCGCCTTTGCCATTTTTGGAAAGTTTGCGGGGCTTTTTTGAGGTGGGCGGAGCCTCTAGCAGTGGGCGGGGCTTCATGGAGCAGTCCAGGAGTTCATGGAGAAGTTTTGAAATATATCAAAATTCCGCAGAAAACAAGTGGCCGTGGCTAAGGCGGCGGAAGCTAAATTGCATGAATGCGCGGGTACGGGTATCTTCTTTGTGCAAAGAGTGGATGTGAAAATAAAAGTTTTAAAAAGTACGAAATTTCGAAGTCCGCAACAAGCTATCTAAAGAATTGGCGGAGTCGGCTGTGTCGATGTGTTGAAAATCTATGTCCGTGCTGACGAGGAGGCGTGACCGTCGGGGCGAGGCTCGCAGTGGTAACTGGCGTGATCTGGTTGCCGAACTGCCCGATGTAAAAAGATTGGTGAATTTGATTTGGAAAGTGGTGGATTTAGTTCGAAAAGTGGTGAATTTGGTCTGGAAAGTGGTGAATTTGAATCACCAATTCGAAAACACTTTTAAAGACAATTCCCGCGATTCAAGTGTTGCGGGTAGTTGGGCTCCGTCATGGACTAGTATCCCATAGGTAGTCTCTCAGAAGAAAAAGAAGCGGAAAAAAACCTTGGGAACACCTTGAACACAGACGTCACCCCAGCAGCCCTGAACGAGTGCGTCGGGCGCGAAGGGCGCGGGCTCCATAGCGATTGGAGCACAAAGCTTGAGCAGTCGACCGTGGCGCTAGTGAAAGTCACAGGTAAGCTCGAAAAACACACTAACTGCTCTTCATTTCTTATCCTCCTCTTGCCATGAGTACGGAAAGCGAATTAAGTGCTCTTCCAATCACGTCCTTCCCATCGCTTGCAGAGTATGAAATTCAAAAATGTTTGCTGCTCTTTTGTTCACAACGTCCTAATGGAATTGCGCTTGCAAACCATATGGAACCCTAAAACATCCTATGCGTCTTCAATTGTCCAACGGTGCGGGGATCGCGCTTAATCGCCATAAAAAGCGAGGATCACCGAAGATGGCAAAGTGCCAGAAGGGCCGCGCGCAACACGCGCCGCGCGGGCGTTAAAGGGACGGGAGCAGCACGGGGCCCGACGCCTCGTCCACCGTCTCCGTGAGCCTAGCGAGCCTTGTCGAAATCGCTATAACTTTCTTATACCGCGCTATTGCGGGATGAAAGAGGTATCATCTTCAACATGGCGTGGAGGGTTCCAAAAGGCGCGAAGTCATTTCGAAGACCACTTGATCGCGGGGAGTGTCTTTAATTGGACACTTTTTAAACCAAATCGGACACTTTTCAAACCAAATCGGACACTTTCCAAACCAAAACGGACACTTTTCAAATCAAAAAGGGCACTTTTCAAATCAAATCAGGCACTTTTCGAATCGAACACACCTCTTACAATGGGCAGTTGAGAACTAGACCACACTATGTACTGCTCACATGGAATGAAATAAAGGGAAAGATTAGAAAAAAGGGAAACTTTGTTTCCGGTGACGGGACAGGCCATAACCTGCCAGTACGCTCACGCTCGCCGATCTGCATCGTTTTGAAAAGTGGGCGGGGCCTCCATTAGTGGCCGGGGCCGCTTGTCAAGGCTAAAGTGAAAATACGGAAGAAAAATCGAAATTCCGCGAAAAACGAAAGTGGGCGTGGTCATAGGGGCGGGCTTAGTGGGCTAATGTGTAAATGCATGGCTATGTTCGTTTTGCGAAGATTAAATGTGAAAAAACGACGTCGAAAAAAGTAATAAAAATTCAGAACTTACGTCACTTTATTGTGAAGTGGGCGGAGTCATACATATATGTATCCGTAACAAACCTATTCAGTTGAATGCGTGTGTTGTGTGTGTGTGAGTGTGTGTGTGTGTGTGTGTGGTGTGTGTGTGTGTGTGTGTGTGTGTGTGTGAGTGTGTGTGTGTGTCTGTGTCTGTGTGTGTCAAGTAGCAAAATGAAAAAAATTCGAAGAAGCAGAATTCATAAAACATTTGGAAAACCACGGCCGCGCTAAGAAGTGGGCAGGGGTGTGTTGTAGCGGGGCTTGCAGCAGTACCTGGTGTGGTCTAGTTCTCAACTGCCCACTGTAAGAGTGTGTCCGACTTGATCTGAAAAGTGTCCGATTTGGTTTGAAAAGTGTCCGATTTGGTTTGAAGTGTCCGATATGGTTTGAAAAGTGTCCGATTTAAAGTGAAAATGGTATAAATCACGCTCACCAAACCCATATTCACAAATGCATGATTTTTTGCTTGATTTTATATACTAATTCTGTAGTTCGTCACTTATTATACTCGTTGAATACGTGGTCCACAGAGCAAATCAATACGTTGAACTTTACCAAAGGTTTTCCGTGGACCACAAGCTCAATGTTGACCCCTACTCCTGAAGGCAAGTTATTAGCTAAGGAAAAAAACTTGTTGTACCCTGAGGAGAAATTAGATGGAAAACTGGCCCTAATTATGATGCTGGGGCAGTAAACGGTAAATAGTGCCCTGGTTTTTCACTGGAACTTTGAAAAAGGGTAAAGAGCACCAAAGATGTCACAACAACGCTAAGATATGGGCAGGTCAGATCCCAGACGGGACTCGAGCCCGCATCTCACCTTACTGAGCGTTTGCGTTACCCATTACGCTACCTTGGCTAGCTCTCTCAATGGTATTATTTTGTGTCCCTGCCTTGCACTCACACGCTTAAACCGCTAGCGTAATGGATGACGCGACCGTCCGATAAGCGGGAGATGCGGGCCCGAGTCCCGTCTGGGCCTGACTTTTGCCCGTATCTCAGCGTTCCTGCGATAAATTCGGAGCGTGTACTGCGGCGTCAAACAACAGCTATCATATTGAAAACAACGCCAAGGGTATCGTTATTTGGTTACCTTTCCAGAATCTTTCTTGGAAGCATGTTTTCTGACTCCGATTCCGAAAATGCTTCTCGTGGAACGGCTTTATCCGTATGCGGTCACGCCTGTCGCATTTGAAAAAAACACGCGCGGTTCCACGCGGCCGAGAAAGTCAAACTGCGCACGCGTCAGGAAGGTCGCATCCGAAAAAGTGACTTATCAACAGCGATGGTTCTATCCTTTTAGCTTTTTTGATAGTAAAGTTTCGCACTGCTCCGCCTTTACAGTACGGCGATGTTGTTCGGCGTACGCCAGCGTGGTCGGAAGTCGTGAACCAGAGTCAATTTGCTTATCAAACAATGGGTTTGTCTCAGTATTTTTCTTCTGCTTCTTTCAGTAGGTTCGACAGTGCACTAAACTTTCCAGAGCCTTACAAAGACTACGAAATCATCCAATGCGACTATGGTAGCGGCGTGTGCGATACTCTTTAACAATCTGTCCCAACACCGAATTTAATCAAGTAACTATTCTTTATATGGCTTTTTCAGGCGTACTTAATCTGAGAAGACAAAGTCTCCAATTCGGTCAATTTTCCAAGATGAATTTCTCCGATGAAACTATTGCAAAAAGTATGACTTTGGCTTCATGTTTTTTCCGCTACTGTATATGCACCATTCGTATCAAAATTAAGTAAGAGACATAATTACCTTTGACGATGAGCTTCCCGCACTTTGCACACTAGTTCCGCATTGACTAGAAACTTCTTTGGCTTGATTTAAAAGGCGCTCTTGTTCCTCAAGTTCCGACCGCGACACGTACCACTCCTTTTTCTCATACTTCTTAAAAAAAAGTGGCGGATTGAATCTATCAGAGCTGCAACAACAATAGGACTCCAGCGATAGTCAGTTTATAAAAAAAAGAATATGAAAGAAGAGAAACCACAGCTAGAATACCTAGAAAGAAGCACAGCAACTTACGCACTTTGACAAGAAATGATGTAATCTCATCCTTGTTTGTCATTTTTGGTGGTGCACCGGAGTATAGTCCTAACCAAGTGTGCGAATTCTCTTCATTTCCAAGGCTGCGGAGTCGTTCAATCTCTTCAGCCGTGAAGGATGCCATGCAGATTGATTTAACACGATGTGGTGGATTTAATCCTCTTCTAGCAAATCAAAAAATATGAGGTACAAAAAGTTGCATGTATAATAGAAAGCTAGGCATAAAATAAAAAATATACAATTGCGGAACAGCGGAACACGCACGCAAAGCTCAAACGAAAACTGCCTATACAGGCGATCAGTCCGAATTTCCAAGAAGTGCATAAGAGGCTTACAAAATTCCAGAACAGCTGGTACAGCAAAATGATCCATGCGTGATATTCACATAAGTCGGGCCGCGCTGACCGCACTCGAAACAATAACGATTAGCGGGAAGGGCGGTGAGCTCGCTAAAATACCAAAAGTTAAAAAAAACAGTGTGTAATAGCGGAAAAACAATGCTATATGTGACCAATAACAATAAGTTAGGATTATCCTTAGTATACATCCATGATTCCTAGACAGTGGGCCCGACGGGCGCGGAATGGAATGCAGCGAGGACGGCCGTCTTACACCAATGATCCCATCCTGAGTCCGAGAAAATTGGCGATAAAACAACAACTAATTTCAACCAATAACATAATAACTAATAGTAATAACAATAAACAAATCAATGAATAAATTTGATCTATCGAAAATAGTAATTGTATAGGACCTTGACGGTATCATAAGGGACGCATAACAAACATGAGACGGGAAAAAAGCAAGAAAAGTCAATATCCGAGAATGTTCTCTCGCGACACAGAACAGAAACGGCCAGAAACGACCCCAACGAGTAAATACGACTCGTCAACGACGAAGTACCCTTCTATACCTTCACAATGGAAGGCATGGTGGATTTATGGTAATTCCTTCCTTAGTCATTTCAGCTCGTTTCACTACCGCCCATAAATTGCATTAGGTTGTCAGCGCTTAGACTTCGCGACGGCAGCATTTCGGTCGCGCGTATGGCGCAATCGACCTTCGAGCGATCGCGTCGTACACGCCTCTGAGAGACGGGCAAGAGCATCGTAAATCGCCGCTTTGTTATGCGGGGCAATGAGCCCGACATTTCCTTGAATTGCACTACCCTTTCGATTGGAGCATCGGATTTCACGCAGAGGAGGACATGGCAGACACTGATGTCTATTTTTGGTCATACATTGTCTACTTCAGAACAATACACCTAAATCGTCGTCATTAACGGGTGCGACGTCGTACGCGACTGGCGCGGGGAATTACGATTCTCTTGCGACATACCCCGCGCGTTTAATTCGATCGCGCTCCAATGTTGAAAATGAATGAGCCGCTGCTACTTTAACGATGTATTAGGCTATGAAACACATATTAGGGTATCCATAAGGCGCTGTAGTGATCGAATCGTAACAGACAGAGCAAGGCTTAGGATCCCGCACAACTCAGCAGGCGCTTCTATTTACAGCAGCGGTGTGGTCCGCGCCATGACGCCCATAGAAACATAAATCTGTAGATAGATACAATGTGTAGTCGGCCGGAAAAGTATGCACACTGAGCCTTTGATACTTGGGGGTATAGTAGTGATAAGAGAAGTAATGATAGTGGCCCCTTATCCTCTTATCAATTGATAAGATCCTGTCACCCGTCATCAATATCCCTGTCACTAAAACTCTATAATTTGGTAGTGCAAAGGCTCCAGCAATTTGACTTAACAGCATGGCAACGTTCCTTATCACCCCTATCAGCTGTTATCACCTCACGTGCCGTGTCCCCATTTCCAACTCCATATCATTTTCTGAAATTAATGCCTAGCTGATGCTGTGTTCCGCGTTATGAGTATGGTGACCATACCATTCTAACTCCCCTTATCAAGTCCTATCAGCTGCTATCATTCCCTGTCACCCACCATTGATGTTCCTGTCCCACGTCCTATATCATCCCTTGGAACCAATGTCCCACTGTTACTGTGTCCCGCACTATAGGCTCGGTCACCCTCCCCTTCTAAGGCCCCTTATCAAATCTTATCGGGTGCTATCACATTCTATCGCCCACCAAAAGTGTTCCCGTCCTGCCATGTATATCACTTCTTGAAACTGTCGTCCTATCTTTTCTGCGACGCTCGCTATGAATTTCGTGACAGACAGACAGACGCACATACACACACACACTTACAGATACTTAGCGATTATATATAGTAGGATATTGTCCATTCCTATGTCCGTTACCTTTATGGCGGGATTACCTTGCGTGGGAGCTAGAACTAAGCGAGTACTGAGGATGAGGGGTGTAGGCAACATCTAAGCTAAACTTCTATGGAAGAGACCGATTGATCTCCTAAGCATAGATGATTTTGAAGAGCATTTTATCCAGCATCGGAGGCGGTTCATCATTCTCGATTTCACCGATAAAGGAGCCAGAACGGTTGAGATGAAGTAAAAGAAGTTGGAAGTCGTGCGCTCTCGTACATTTTTCAGGTGATGTCAAATCACACGTGCAATGGAGAATAACACCAGCCAGCATTATTATCGATCTACAAATATTTCTTTTTCTCATAGCACTTGATATATGACTCTGTGTTGAAGCATTCGCTTGCTACACTTCTTCAAACTAAAACTGTGACATTTTCTTAAAACTTTCCGGACAACCTACCATTAAGTTTTCTTTGTGGTGCGTATTATGAAACACTTTCCACTCCTTCATTCCATTGACAACGTTTCGAGCCGTGAGCCCTTCCTCAGGTCTACAAACATCAATTATATTGCCTGCACCAACATCATCTATTTATATACAAACATAACAGAAATCCAAAAGAGGGAACAGTCAATTAACACATTGGCGACAAGGGGCCTTTTCGCGTGTCTGCCGCGTGGGACAAAGCAGTTTTTCCCTATTTTCGAAGAATGCGCGTAAATGCTAGGACGTTCATACGTCAAAAAAACTGAAGAATGGTCAGAATTCATTGCAGAAGCTAGTAAGGTTTTGCTATTCTTGTTTACATTCAAGATAGACCCTGGAATTTCAAGGAATACTCCCGCCTCATTCACGTGGAGCGTGGAAACAAGCTCCCAAAAAAGGAATATTTTCGCGCCAGACGTCGTAAATTGGATTTGAATGAGATCTGCTATTGTTGAAAGTTATCTTATCACATTAGCTATCTGCATGTGGAGCTCAGTTCTATATATCCAAGAATTATCTTTCTTTGCCTGGGAAATCACTTTCGTTCGTCTCCTCGGTAAAATACTCTCAATGACACAACTGCACGGTTTACAGCCACTGTATATTCTACAATGCCTCCATGGACAATATGCAGCTGTTGAAAATTCGAAACGTCTTCAAATTGGTTTTTTTTACCCATGCCGCATCCCAGCAGTGGGACGCAATGTCCCACGCGGAAAAAAGGTGCGTCCCAGTAGTGGGACGCAATGTCGCCAACGTGCTAACAACTGACCGGATTCCTATGGAAAGGAGGGTCTGAGGTAGGAGTGGCTGCGGGAGTTTGCTGCAAGATGGTCCTGGATGTAATGGCAAACAGTGATCCGGAACATTGACTCACCTCCCCAGCTGTCCTTCCGTCTGGAAGTGGGACAGCTAGTTCGGCGAAGCAGGGATGAGGTGGTGATAGTTGATAACACCCTGTCATTTGTCATATGTCACGCGCTTTCATTGGCGTAGCATGAGGAACGATGTCTTGAGAAGGGGTTATCCGGATAGCTAGCTGGATTCCGAAAAACCTTTAGATGTTCATCTACCCTTTTGTAGAGTGGCCGCCCCGTTTCTCCAGTGTAGAATTCGGAACACGAGACACACTCTACTTCGTAAACGGTGTTCATCAAAAGGCAGATTTTTCGTTCCTCTCGGCAGTAAGCACAGTTCTCGCGGCCACATCGGTCTTCGTACACCCGGTACACCCGTGACGACGTAAGGAGATGGCGAAGTGTTGGCGGTGGTCGAAAAATCAGGCGGATCGACATCCCTGAACTCCTTATAGCACGATTATGGGCGCCAACAATTTATGTGTCCTCTTCATATCCGTTTTCGAGAAGTATACGCGTCACGGTGTCTGTCACTACAGGAACATTAGTGGACGTCAACCTCCGAGCTGTCGTCAAGGCATTCTGAATTGTATTCCTCTTCATAAAAGGATGGCAGCTTCTCGAGTGTACTAAGATGTTCTTTGAAGCAGGTTTCCTATGCCAGATGGAAAGTACATCTCCTGCCGACAGTTTCACTTTGATGTTCAAGAACGGAAGGAAACCATCGTGTGCAGGTTCCTCGACAGTGAGTGCAATAGAGTGCACTGAGTTCAGCTTCAAGAAGGTTTGACGTGATGCTGTTCTGGACTTCGCAACGACACTATGTCGTCTATGTAACGGCCGTAGAACAGCAATCCCGATGATAGCGAACGCCTTTCTAAACGATCCATGAAGAGGATTGCGGGAAGCGGTGCAGTTCGACTGCCCATTGCTAATCCACGCGTCTGCATATAAATGTTCCGAAAACGAAACATGTTGAATTTCACAACATTCATCAGAAGCTCTTCTATATCGTCGATGGACAATCCATAAAGTTGACAACCGTTCTTAGATGCTGCCTTAGGAGATTTATGCACATTTATCAAGGGTTGCTGTAGAAGCATGCATAAATCTCCTAAGACAGCATCAGAACGGTTGTCAACTTTATGAACTGTCCATCGACGATGTAGAAGAGCTTCTGAGAATGTTGTGAAATTCAACATGTTTCGTTTTCGGAACATTTATATGCAGACGCGTGGATTAGCAATGGGCAGTCGAACTGCACCGCTTCCCGCAATCCTCTTCATGGATCGTTTAGAAAGGCGTTCGCTATCATCGGGATTGCTGTTCTACGGCCGTTACATAGACGACATATTGTCGTTGCGAAGTCCAGAACAGCATCACGTCAAACCTTCTTGAAGCTGAACTCAGTGCAGGAGATGTACTTTCCATGTGACATAGGAAACCTGCTTCAAAGAACATCTTAATACACTCGAGAAGCTGCCATCCTCTTTTTATGAAGAGGAATACAATTCAGAATGCCTTGACGACAGCTCGGAGGTTGACGTCCACCAATGTTCCTGTAGTGACAGACATCGTGACGCGTATACTTCTCGAAAACGGATATGGAAGAGGACACGGAAATTGTTGGCGCCCATATCAGATACCGGAAGCCATTCCACTGATACTTCCGTATCTATAGACGATGTAAATCGTGCTATAAGGAGTTCAGGGATGTCGATCCGTCTGATTTTTCGACCACCACCAACACTTCGCCGTCTCCTTACGTCGTCACGAGTGTACGAAGACCGATGTGGCAGCGAGAACTGTGCTCACTGCCGAGAGGAAGGAAAAATCTGCCTTTTGATGAACATCGTTTACGAAGTAGAGTGTGTCTCATGTTCCGAATTCTACATTAGAGAAACGGGGCGGTCACTCTACAAAAGGG